GCGGTCGCCTGCGTGGGAGTCCAGCAACATAGCCATTACGCTAACTGCTGGTTCCCTCGTGTGTGTGTGTGTGTGTGTGTGTGTGTGTGTATTCAAGGTGAGAAAAGTTAGCATGTCTGTATCTTGCAAGGAAAGATCTAATAAAGAGGGGAAAGAGGGACGAGACTGACAGAAAGGGAAGAACTGCTGAGCGGTGACTAGGTGTAACCGAGAGGATGAATTCGTGCACAAGCCGAGTGCCTGCCTCTGTTTTATTTATTTATTTTTGAAGAATTAGAAAAAAAAAATTATTCATTCATTCATTTATTTTAATTTGACCAGAGAGAGACACAGAGACAGAGAGAGAGTGAGAGTGAGAAAGCAAGCCTCCAGGTCTGCGACTTGAACTGCAGTCGGCCATGTGGGAGTCCAGTGCCCTTAACCACCATACTACCTGCGGGTCCCCCAATAGTTATATCGTTCTTTGTGTACCTCTGACATCCCATAGACTATTCGAAGCGCTTACATCTAGCAACACATTCTTTTTTTTTTTTTTTTTTTGCCACAGGGCACGCCAGAGACACAGGGAAACAGAGAGGGGAAGAGATGAAAGCACTCCGCAGTGGGCATGGTCGTGCCACAATCCTTTCTCCTCCCTTTCTCCATCCTGCCGGGATTGGGGACATACTCACACATGGGGCTGGCAGATCTTTCTCACTGCCAGGGTTGGGATTCGAACTGCACGGCTGGCCACGTGGCAGCTACCTCCCTTAACTATTAGACCAGAGAGCGAGAGTCGGCTCACACACTTATTTCTCATAACAGTTGTATGAGTCTGTTCTCTCTCTCTTTTTTTTGCTACTAGGTGTGTGCACTTGCTGGAGGGACAGAGAGACAGAAAGTGAAAAATCACTCCCTATGGGAGATGGCCACACCACAATCCTTCTCCATTCTCCCCTTGGGATTTTGGGCACCTGAGCACACACGCCCGGTGTGACTTCAAGCCTCCAGTTCTGGGAATCAAACCACAATCGTCCACATGGGAGTTCAGTGCCTTGACCACTATGCCACCAGATAGCCCCTTTTTAACAGGTTTTTGTGTTAGGGTACATGTTCTCGCCAGAGAGTGAGACAGAGAGAGACTGAGACAGTGAGAGAGAAAGTGAGAAATCACCCCCAGGGAGATGGCCACACTGCAATCCCTTCTACTTCATTCCCCTCCCAGAATTTTGGGCATGCATGCACACGGGCCATGTGATTTTCAAGCTGCTAGGTCTGGGACTTGAACCAGCCATGTGGGAGTCCAGCAACATAACTGTCATGCCATCTGCTGGGCCTCCCAAATAAATAATTCTTTTTTAAAAAGTATTTTATTTTACTTATTATTATTTAATTTGACTAGAGATACAGAGAAAAAGAGGGAAAGTGAAAAAGCAAGCCACCAGGTTTGGGACTCGAATTGTTGTCAGCTACATGGAAATCCAGAGCCTTAACCACCATGCTACCTGCAGTCTCCTCAAATAAATAATAATAATAATAATAATTTTTAAACCTTTAGCAACCTCGCCACCTGGTGGCCCTAATGATTATTTTTTGAAGATTTCTTTTTTTTTTTTTTTTTTTTTTGCTATGGGCGTGTGCGCTCGCCAGACAGAGACAGAGACAGAAAGCGAGAAATCACCCCCCGGGGGGATGGCCACGCTGCAATCCCTTCTCCTCCATTCTCCTCTCAGGATCTTGGGCACGCACGCACACGCGCCCGGCGTGAGTTTAAGCCACCGGGTCCGGGACATGAACCATGGTCAACTACTTGGGAGTCCAGCGACATAGTCATTACGCTAACTGCTGGTCCCAAGATTTATTTATTTTTTTAATTTAACTATTTATTCACTTATTTATTTTAATTTGACCAAAGGGGGGGCGGGGAGAGAGAGAGAGAAGAGAGAAGGAGAGAGAGAAAGTGAGAAAGCAAGCTTCCAGGACCAGGACTTGAAACGCAGTCGGCCAAGTCCAGTGCCCTTGACCACCATGCCACCTGCTGGCCCTTCAAATAAATACTTCTAAAAACAAAAAATAGAAGCAGCTCTAACTCATGATTTGGTTTTGTCTGTTTGTTTTTCTGTGTTAGGCAATGGCATGCTCTCAATGTTTCTTTCTCTTGCTCAAACTCCCCTTTCATAAAGAATGGCGATAGCACCTGTAGTACCGCTCACCAGGTGCTGACGCTCAGCTCACCGGGTGCCTGCCCGCTGCAGACACTGCCCAGGGCTGCAGGCACTATCTAATCAGCGACTCAGCCCCTTGCCAGTGTCTCAGCCTCACTTGACAACTGAGTGATTTGCTCTGATCACATACCTAGTCGGGGATGGAACCAGAGTTGAGATCAATTGCTCTAAGTTTTGACTTTGTCAGGCAAGTCAAATAAAGGAAATCAAAGTACAACCTCCCCTTATTGTTGAGAACAGGTGGAGATTGTAGATGGATTTCCAAGTGCTAACTAGGATTCAAGTAGGAGGAGAGAGGAGAGAGCGAAATGGAGGGAACCTGGCCGTCTGGAGGTGTGAGCCTCTGGAAATAGCCCGGGTTCATCCCGCCATTCACTGCAAGGTAGGTCCTGAGTGTCTGCCACCTGTCAGACTCTCCTCTCCTCACAGTGGAGCACTTAGATGAAAGACAGGGTTCTGATCCCCAGTGGTGTGTCGTCTGAGAAGACGGCAGGCAAACACCGCCACATACAGGGTGGTAAGTGCTATGTGGTCCCCACTCAAGGCTCAGTGGGCGGAAGTATCTATTTTGGTGAGTCAAAGAAGTCTTTGAGGTAGACGTAACCTTTGAACTTGGTCTTTGCAGAGGCCAGATGAAATGAGCTCATAGGAGAAGGACGAATAGCTCAACATCATTAAACCATCAACACTGAAGAAGGCTGGTGGGAGGAAATGAGGCTCGGGTGTGAGCGTCAGACCAAGATTTTTTGTTTTAATTTAATTCCATTTGCTTTTATTTTTAAAAGATGTTTTTAGGATTATTTATTTTTATTTATGTATTATTATTCTTCAGTTTGACCACAGAGAGACACAGAGAAAGGGAGAAAGGGTAAGTGAGGAAGCAAGCCGCTAGACCCAGGACTCAAACCATGGTTGGCTATGTGAAATCCCAGCGCTTCAACCTCCATGCCACCTGCTGGCCCTGTTATTACTATTTTTAATTTGACCAGACAGAGAAAGAGAGAGAAAGGAAAAAAGAAGAGCAAGTCGCCAGGTCTGGGACTTGAACCGCCATCAGCCATGTGGGAATCCAGCACTTTTAACCACAGTGCCACCTGCAAGCCTTCTAAGAATGTTCTCAAATGCCACACCATGAACTTAGTTATTTCCTGCAGATAATGAGAAATTATATTAGGTACAACATTTTGTTTTTCCTTTGGGGGCGAAAGATGGTCTTATAATAAGTGGTACAAAATTGTATAAAATAATAAAACTGCTATTCTTTTATTGGGAAATAATTATTTAATTTTGTTTATTATTATCATCATCATTATTATTTTCAATTTGCTATAGGGGACATATGCTCGCCAGAGAGAGAAAGAAAGAGAGAGGGAATGTGAGAAAGCAAGCCACCAGGGACATGAACCACCGACCATGTGGAATTCCAGTGCCTTAACTACCATGCTAAAATTACAGTTCTCAAAAATGCCTGAAGATTATTTTCGTGATAAGCTAAATATCCCATGGCATTTGAAAGTTTTTTTACTAGTATGGCCAAAATAAGACAAAATGAGTTTTAAGTTACCAGGTCTGGGACTGGAACTACAGGCAACTAACTATCTGGGAGTCCAGCAACGTAGCTACTATGCCATCTGCTGATCCCTACTTTACTTTACTTATTATTATTATTTAATTTGACCAGAGAGAGACAGCAAGAAAGAGGGAAAGTGAGAAGGCAAGCCACCAGATCTGGGACTTGAACCATGGTCAGCCATGTGGGAATCCAGCGCTCAATCACCACACCACTTGGGCAAAGTTAGATGAGCAAAATTTAGTCCAGAAGTTGAAAATAGACAGGGCATGTCCACGCGCACAGTTGGAAAGCCGTCTCCCCCCATCCAGTTTCCCACTTCACTGTGGATGAGGTCTGTGAGAAATCCACAATGCATTTGTCTGATGAGACCACGAATGCTAAGACTATGAACTACTATGTCCCTAGGTGCTGTCTCAGCGTCTCGCATGCACCAGAGATGAGCGAGTTTGCGCAGGAGTAAGTGCATGTCTCTTCCACTCTGCCAGGTTCTGACCAACCTCAGGTCTGCACAGCTGACCTCACGCATCGGTCACCTTTGTTTTATCAACTGTTTTTTTCTGGAAGAATAGAGCCAGCGAAGAGAAAAAACATTCTGTCTGTTAGCATCCAATTGCCTTTGAAGAGCTGGGAAGAGAGCAATTCACACTGGATTATCCCCCATCAGATAAGTGAGCAGCCGCCCGGTTGAGGCCAGTCTGGAGACGGTCTTCCCGTCTGGCTGCTGTCTGGGAGGCCATGCTTCCCTCCCTGCGCGTCCTGGCTCTCAGCTTCCTGGTAACCCTGACCTTGGGCCAGACTTTCCAATTTCCACGCTATGTCTTCCTTCAATTCCTGGGCTTAGACAAGGTGCCTTCACCCCAGAAGCTCCAACCCGTGCCTTCTATCTTAAAGAAAGTTCTCCAGGACCGAGAGGTGGCAGCAGCGACCGGGGCGTCCCCAGATCTCTGCTACGTGAGGGAACTGGGCGTCCGTGGGAACGTGCTTCGGCTTCTCCCAGACCAAGGTAAGCCGGCGCAGGGTTTCCCAGGGAAACATCTGGAAGTGGGTGATGGGGAGAGAGGAACAGAGGGCATTGACAAATGCCGGGTGGCCGGTAGAAGGCCTTTTGTGTATTTTATCTCATTTAATTCCAGCCACATTCCTGAGAGGAAGGTTATGTATTTACTTTACAATAAGGAAATTGGGAGTGGGTAACTGTGAACTCTGCCGGAATACGAACAACGGCAAGATTTGAAATCGTTTCTTTCTGATGAATCATCTGCTTGGTGCTTTAGGTGAAAGGGATGAGGGTGGAATTGGGGCTCGTCTCCCACGCGTCAGCCCACCATTTGTGGATCCTGGTGCCTTTTCCACGGAAAGTAAGGGGCACCCCCCCCAAGTTTATTTTATCTCTCTCATCCGAGGGAAGTAGTCAGACAGAGAAGAACCCGGCAGACACCGCCCACAGGGACTCCCCCAGACCCCAGAGACACAGACGCATGCCCGGTGTGTACAGGGAGACCTCCAGACACGGACCCAGGACCTGCTCAAGTGGGTCCAGGATGAGAGCATCACGTTACTCCCGTACCCCAGCCACTGGCCCTGAGGGACCGAAATTTTCAGCTTCGTTTGCCTGAGCCCCATTTCTTTTATTCATCCCTCCCCATTACGTTTATTGGGGAGACCTTGGATGCAGAGTATTAGTATTTGCCACTGTCATAACCTTTATGTGAGGACGAAAGCAGTGCCAGGGAAACCGGCCACCCACCACAGGATCTGGGCCACCCACCACAGGATCTGGGCCGCCTGTTACTGGTAGATGGGGGAGTGGCCTCCCACCCTCCCAGCCAATTCTCATTCAGAGTCCAGGTGGACGTTACGAATCTGCATTTCTATACAACATCCTGGGTGGTTCAGGTGCAAACCCAGAGCCGAGGTGAGCTAGTTATCCAGCATCTGGGCAGAGGAGCTGAGCGTAATTTTGTCTAAGAAGCATTTATTAGCTACCTACAGTGACCCAGGAATTATGCTTGGCCTTCAGAATGCAGAGACAAAAGGTGAAGCCTCTCCCCCTTTTTAGACACTTAATTACTTATCTATTTATTTATTGTGATTTTCAAGCTGCCGGGCCCTGGACTCAAACCACCGCAGTTGGCCATGTGGGACCAGTGCCTTAACCACCAAGCCACCTGCTGACGCCCAGAAGTCTGCCCTTTATTAAAGATTTGTAGTCGGCACTGGACTCCCACGTAGTTGACCGCGGTTTGTGTCCCGGACCCGGTGGCTTAAAACTCACACCGGGCGCGTGTGCGTGCGTGCGTGCCCAAGATCCTGAGAGGAGAATGGAGGAGAAGGGATTGCGGTGTGACCATCCCCCCTGGGGGGTGATTTCTCGCTTTCTGTCTCTATGTCTCTCTCTGTCTGTCTGGCAAGCGCACGCGCCCTACAGGGAAAATCTCTCAAAAAAAAAAAAAAAAGATTTGTAGTCGGGAGGGGGACAAAGGACTTCTGTGCTAAGAGATGGCTGAGGCTCAAGCCCGTAGGGGTGGGAGTCCAGGAGCAGGTGAAGGGCTAGTTGAAGGGTTTTCCATGGAGAGAACAGAGCTGAGAATGTGGTTTGGAAAGTGTTCTCCCTTTCTCCCATTGAACTAACTTTGCTTTTGTGATAATCCTAGTTCTGTCAAATGCTACAGGAAAAACAATTTCACCTTCACCCCTGCCTGACTCTCCTGCTAGAGAAAACCAGCACTGACAGTTGTATATTTTTCTAGGCTTTTCTTCTTCAAGTATATAGACTATGAACTGTAATTTTCCTGTTTAAGTGGGGTCATACTATATAGTCTTCTAATCTCATGAGCATCTTATTTTCATTTTTGTTCTAGGGCATGTGTGTTTACAGGGAGGGGTGGGAAGAGAAAGCGAGAAAGAAAGAACTCATCTCCCGGGAGGATGATTACACTGCAGTCCCTCTTTCTGCATTTTCTTCTCCAGTTTTGGATGATCAAGCATGCTCATATGCCCGGTGTGATTTTCTTTTCTTTTCTTTATTATTATTTTTTTATTTTAATTTTTTAATATACATTCAATCATATTATTTAGCTTACAAAGTGAACATTTCAATATGTGAACATTTCTCCCCAGTCCAGTTGATCAAAATATCTTCCACCTAGGGACCAGCAGTTAACGTAATGGCTATGTCGCTGGACTCCCATGTAGCCAACCGTGGTTCGAGTCCTGGACCCGGGTAGCTTAAACTCATGCCGGGCGCGTGTGCGTGCATGCCCAGGATTCCAAGAGGAGAATGGAGGAGAAGGGATTGCGGCGTGACCATCCCCCCTGGGGCGTGATTTCTCGCTTTCTGTCTCTCTGTCTCTGTCTGTCTGGCGAGTGCACGCACCCTATAACAAAAACCTCTCCAAAAAAAAAAAATATATATATATATATGTCTTCCACCAATAACACCACACCTCCCCATCCCGTCAATGCTCTGCCTCCGTATCCCTCCTCCAAATGTCCTTCCTTAGGTCCTACCTCTCCACACACACTAACCCCCATCTCTTGTGTTCGTACAACCTTATGTCAATCAGTTTCCTTCATAGAGTGCAGACACTCGGTATATATTAAGTGGGGACATACGGTGCCTCTCCTTCATAGCCTGGCTTGCTTCACTCAGCAGTAAATCTTCCATATTCTTCCACTTTCTGTCAAAAGCCAGGATTTTGTTATTTTTTATGGCGTGATTTTTCATGCTGTCAGGTCCAGGATTCAAACAGCCGAGCTGGCGATGTGGGCTCCAGCACTTTAACACCCAGGCTACCTGCTAGCCCCATGCGCATCTTTTTACATGTCAGGAAATAGCTTACCTTCATTCCTGTGGTTGCAGGGCAGCCTGTTTTATACACATACAGTTCATGTAGCTCTGCCCTGCTGCTGCCGTGGACACAATGTAACTCAGGCTGCCTGACATGCGTTTGTGTGTACGTGTACATATTTTTCTGTAATTTTCCTGGGATAAATTCTTAGAAGGAGAGTGTTGGATGAAGGAATAGACATTTTAAACTTAAAATTTTTTTTTTATTTTTATTATTATTATTTTTAGAGATTTTTCTATAGGGCATGTGTGCTTGCCAGAGAGACAGAGACAGAGAGACAGAGTGAGAAGTCACCCCCTCCCCCAGGATGGCCATATCGCAATCCTTTCTCCTCCAGTCTCCTCTCAGGATTTCGTACACACATACGCACATACACACATACACACATACACACATACGCACATACGCACATACGCACATACACACATACACACATACACACATACACACATACACACATACACACATACACACATACACACAAGCAACTTAAAAATTAAACATGTTAAAGATATTTCAGCAAACCCCCCCTACCCCCCCATCTTAACCATCGGGCATCATAAGACTGAAATTCTTGCCAAACGACTTGAACCACACTCAACTACATGGGAGTCCAGCAACAAAGCCATTACACTAACTGCTGGTCCCCCTGGTGTGAGTCTTGAGCCACCGGGTCCGGGACTCAAACCATGGCCGACCACATGAGAGTCCAGCAGTGTAACCATTATGCCATGTGCTGGTTATATTATTTATTAATTTATTTAAACTTGCTATAGTCATCAGGAGAGACGAAGTGAGAAAGCAAGCTGAGGTCTAGGACTCAATCTGCAATCAGTCATGTGGGAGTCCAGCACCATAACCACCACACCATCACACCATCTGCTGACCCCTGCTTTTCACATAATTATTTATTATTATCTTTATTTTTAAATTTTGCTCTAGGGCTCATATGCTCACTAGACAGAGAGAGCTAGAGAGAGAGAGAAAGCAAGCCATCAGGGGATCAGGGGACTCAGATTGCTGTGGGCCATGTGACAGTACAGGGTTTTAACAACCACGCCCCTGCTGGCCCCTCACTTTAAGCTTTTGACATACAGCAAATGTCTCCAAAATTTGTACCCCATCCTGACAGTATAAGAATTCTCATTTCCCACAATTTAACAGAAATTCCTTTAAAAATAGAAACTTACTGGAGCAGCAGGTGTTAAGGTACTGGACTCCCACATGGTTCAAGTCCTGGACCTGGCAGCTTGCTCTCTTACTTTCCCTTTCTCTCCGTTTCTCTCTGATAAGCACATGGGCCCTACAGCAAATTTTAAAATAATAACAAGGGACCAGCAGTTGGCCTAATAGCTATGTTGCTGGACTCCCATGTAGTCAACCATGGTTCGAGTCCCAGACCTGGTGGCTTAAACTCACGCCCGGCACGTGTGTGTGCGTGCCCAAGATCCCGAGAGGAGAATGGAGGAGAAGGGATTACGGCATGGCCATCCCCCCTGGGGGGTGATTTCTCGCTTTCTGTCTCTCCGTCTCTGTTTTTCTGGGAAAAACCTCTCTTAAAAAAAAGGAAAAATAATAAAAATAAAAAAATAAGTAAATAAAATCAAAGTAAATAAATTAATTTATTTTTAATTTATTTTTTAAATTTATTTATTTTTTTGGAGAGGTATTTTTATTACAGGACGTGTGCGCTCGCCAGACAGACAGAGAGAGACATAGAGACAGAAAGCGAGAAAGCAAGAAATCACCCCCCAGGGGAGATGGTCACGCCGCAA